TTTTCTCTTCCATCTCCCAGCAAATGGACCCTGGCTTCAAACAAGCCCTAGGAAAGGGCCCTGCTAACGCGACAGCTGCAGTGGAGCGCCCTGCGCTCATGTCAAGTGCTGAATGCAACAACGTGAACGTCCCCCTTTCAAAAACACAAGGCACCATGTTCAGCTTTCAACTGAGCATGGCATGCACTGSTATGCACTTTTGATTTTAAAGTTCAGTTATACTCTACAGCAACAATTCCTGTAATGCATCTGGTCTTCATTCCCCAGAAATATTTGGAACATCAGTGCATTCACAAGCGCTTTCCTGTTCCAGTCAGTTTTTGTTGATATATATTTTGATATATATATTTGATATATTTTAGAGGTTATGAGTTCAGTGCATATCTTTCCTTGTAAATTGCTTATTTGCTTCCTACAGAGCTAATTAGGTAGACTCACTTGCAATTTAGTAAGTAGACAACAGCAGTAAATAACAAGCAAGGACGCACTGTTTTGGTTCCATAAACATACACCAAGAAGTCATTTTCTTGGGCAACATTAGTCGTACTATTAAAAAGCCAGCACTTAGTTTTCTAYCTCTACACATTTTTAATGTCATTTTGTATTATTTAAAGCATGAGACTATCTGCTATGCAGGCTAATAGACTAGACAGATCCATAAATATTTTGGCCTTTGATCAGCAAAACTTCTTGAATGGASAGTTATCATTGTCCCAGTTTCCAACTATAATCTTTAGATCAAACTGCAAGAATAGGATAATATTCTGCCATCATTTTAAGTTTTTCAAGTTCAAAAACCAAACAACCAAACAAGCACAACAAAGATGCATTCAACTATACAACAAAACTTTTTTTATTGTTAGTTAAAAGCAGGAGCCTTTTGTGAAGTGTTTGATACTAAGGAAAAAAAAATCTCTAGTCTCCTAGAATCCTAGAATCTCTCCAGACCCACTTTCTACACCACTTCTCCTGGAGGATGAACCAATTTTTAAATGAAAATATATATATTTCAAACACATGCATCCTTATTTAATATGCCAGGCTAATATGCTCTACAGTACTAACATGCTACACTGAAATTATAAACTAAACAAACCCTATTTCCAGTGTATTCAAAGTTATTTTGAGAAAAGCAGTACTTCCAGGAAAAGTATCAAGTTATTTTGTTCTTTCCCCCATATATACCCATTAACTCTGATGAGACAGTACAACAGCTGAGGTTTACATGAGTAAGCCCAGAAACTAATGAGCTTGAACAATCCCTTTAATATAATAAACATATACAACTTCCAAATACAAATCAAAACCAATTAATAGAGGTACTCAAAAGAACTTTCAGAAGGTCAAAAAAGTCTGTTGAAAAACAGCGCACATTTATTTGAGGTATAGTATCCATGAAAAGAAACCAAGCCAACCATCAACATTTAAAAACAATTTTTACTCAGCAAGGCAAGAGAAGTTAGGTGGCACACACAGAATGTAAACAGCTGTAAACAGTGGGGAAAAAATACAGAATGTTAATGTCAACCAATCCAAAACTTTGGTTATGAAAATTGAAATAACTCMTTGTATTAAAGAATAAACCAGAGGCATGCAAAATATTATTTCTAAAATTCTGTTTACCCATGTGGCTAAGTKAAAGGTAAAGCTAATGAGATGCATTTAATAAAGCTTTTTTTTTTTTCCTTTTAATTGATTGTGATTCCATTTTCCACAAAGTGAAATGCTTGATGAAAAGCCTTCAGTCTTCAACCCATTGGTACCTAAATTTCTGAAGCCTCTGAGTTGGTACTGCTAAGGAGGTTGGTGTAATTTAGCATGGTATAACACCTCATAAATGCTAGATAAATGCTACAARCAAATGGGGGGTGATCTCTTGACCATCCTGGAAGGCCAAAGCTTGGAGAGCAGCCAAGCTGCTCTAGATTAATTGAAAGATTTTCATGGGTTTCCTCACTAGTGCAGTGACAAGCTCCATAGTAAATCTGGTAAGCCACTTAATATGATAATTGCAACAGGGAATATATTGGTAACCAGGGTATTAGAGGAATCTGAACAGTGGTCAGCAGTGCATGTGCTTTTCACAAAGCTAGGTTTGTTTCACATGTGCAGCAGGAGTCAGAACAGCACAGGTTTTTTCACTGAAGCAACCATATCAAGGCCATCTGTCCAAGCTGCACCTACAACTTCTTCTTGTCTTCCACTTCACCCACCTTCTTCTGAAAAGAGAGTGGGAAAAAAAAGTCATATTTTAGATTTCATCAGAAACTTCTGCTTCCAGACAACCAGCTTACCATTTCTGTCCCTCTCCCTGTACACTCTTGAAGTTCCATCAACACTACCCCACGTAACACATCCACTCTGATCCCAGCAGAATGGGAGCCATAGAGGATATTTCTCCTCCCTACCCACATCAGGCAGAACTATGTGGCAGACTAAGAAAAGAAAACACACACACACACACACACACACACACACTTCGGGCCAGATCTGTCAACTGATTTATCTCTAGGAGTTGTATCTACTGTGTGCTCAGTACCATATGTTCTTTCCATTCAGAAAACCCTAAGGATGTGTGTTCTAGACCCCAAGAAATGCTGCAGAACTACTATGGGTCATTACACTGGGGAGCACAACAGAGACAGGCCGGGATGGTGGTCTGGAACACAGAGCCCAGCCGAGCAGCCTGCCCAGGAGTTCAGGGCAAGGCTGTGAAGCAGCAAGCTGAGCCACGCAGCAAAAGGGAAAGGCTGCATCCAGCTTCAATTTGCACTCTCCCTCCCCCAGCAAAAATAAGAAATTGCTTTTCTTGAAGCTTTTAACACCAAAGTAATGTATTTTCTCCCAAATTCCTTATGAAAACATTAACAAGCACTATTTTATATTTTGTACTTCAGTGGGAAGTGTTAGTCAAGCATGTTCGTCGCCTGGTTTTGTTCTGGTGTATCAACACTATTGCAACATCTGCAATGCAAGTGTTGCAAAAGAATGTTTAAAGAACAAACAAAATAAAACTATTCTTGTAAACGATGTATACACCACACACAGCACCCCTATCACTTTCTTGAAGCTTTCAACTTGATTCTGACATGCAAAACTATCCAAATCCTACCTCTCAAGTGATAACAAAACTAAGTCCATCTGTGATCTGAACTTTCTCACTTGTAGTGGGGAAAAATAAATTTGTATCTTCCATTTTTGCAAAACACTTCTAGTTTCTTGACGAAGTTTATGGAGTGTTATCCATTATAACTTTATGCTATGCAAGAGAATTTACTTAAATCTTTAGTATAATAAACATGCAACTAGCATAATTTTGTAGTACCATTTCAGAACAGGGTGTTCACACAGTGAACCAGAACCACCCACCTGAAGCTGCTCATGTTCTTTCATAAGACGGTCATATTCTCTTTTGAGGCCTTCAGACTGCTTTTTAATTGCTGTTAGTTCAGTAGTTGCCTTGAGGTGAGCTGTAAGATATCAGAATTCCTGTTTTAATTATTACTTGCAATCCTGCTGTTCCTCAGAGCCCAGATACTCAGCCCAAAGCAAGCCCAGATACCAGGCATGTATTAGGGCTCCACTGTACTAGACAGCCCATCGTCTAAAAGCAAGTTCAGAGCATCATGGAGATACAGCAAGATACAGAGGGCAGAAAGGGGAAGGGAAGGGCAGATGGGTTCAGAAACAGCAGCACGAGCAGAGGGGCTGTGGGAAACACCAATAAACTGCTGGTTGGAGGTGACAAGTTAGTGACAGTGCAATCACCTGTCACAGCAGAGGAGAGGTCTAGAAAACCAAAGCACCACAACAACCTGAAACCAAACACCACCAGCCTTCTTTCGGAAGAAAGGACAGCTCAAATATTAGGAATAATTTTAGCAAAGAAGCTGTGTCCATCAAACAAAGAAAAAATATTACAAGTGTGCAGCCTCCCTCTGCCACCCTTTTATATGCTTTACCATGCTCTGGTTAATTCACTAAAAGCTTCATTTTATGCATGAGAAGGCAGAAGGAGGGGAGGAAGGGGGCTAGGCAGCCATAAAGAGGCTTTTAACATGACAAAGGTAATTGCTAAGGCTTCTTTGAAAGCCTTTCCCACTGCAGACCAAAACAGTTAAGAAACCAGAGGTCTACCTTGCAGTACAAAACAGCCCAGGACTCTCATTTACAATGCTGGGTAAATCAGCATAAAGCTTCATAAAGGCTGTTACTCTTGAACTGTTATGCAGGCACTTGAGTAAGGTCATTTAGATACCTATAGCAGAAGAATATAAAGGTATTTCAGGTATCTGGTGCTCTTACAGCACAGACATACCCTGAAACTCTCCCTGCTGCAACAGGGAGACACTGTTAATGCCCTTGTTGGTTGTCAGTGACAAGAACTACAGCACATCTGTAGGAATCTGCTTGGAGGAGAGGGAACATTTCATAAGCTTGTTGGCAAGTCCTAGTTCCTGAGGCTCCAGGACACAGGGACCTTGAACACTCCCCTATCTGCAAAAAGGGAGACTCCCTGTCTCCCTGTTTCTGCTAGTCACCCACTTTTTCCTATCATTAGCTTAAGTGCCTACATTAAAGTCATTCTTGTTGTAAAAGCCTATGAGTGATCTTGCAGTAAAGATGACATTTACCCAGACAGAAATTCTGATCTACTGAAATTAATTGCAGTCAATCCTGTTAATTCCAARCTGGTTAAAAATTCATTCCATTTCTCCACACATTCCTTCTCCCCCTTACTCTTGCACAAATATTCTGCCCTTTAATGCAATCTTGACAGCATCAATGCCAGATTCTTCTCCAAGGCTCTTGGCATTTGCAATAACCGTCATCTCCACACATCTACAAAGTCAAACCCCACTGCATTTACTCTCTTATTTCCAGACCATCTGTCTTCTCTTGCTATTGTTTAAAATCTGCTACACACTATAATGAACACGTTACAATTTGATAAGCTACTGCTCTTTAAGCCCCAAAACACCACATGCCATTTTGCCTCTTTGAATGATCTATTTCAAAAACAATCTTGCCCTTTTATTTAATCATTCTTGTCCACAACTATAGCAAAATATATCACATCTCTGAAGAAATCATAACTCAGTGTCATTGATCTAATGCTGTTTGGCTCATTTGCAAGTAGCAGCATTCTAGAGTTGCAACTAAAAACAACCATATCTCTAAGACAGGAACAAAATACCTAGAAGTATCTGGAGATCAAGAAAGCGACACCACCCACCAGCCTGTTTGAGTGTTTTGAGCAAAACAGGCATGTGACAGGAAAATCTCCCCAAGCCTTAGAAGAGGGGAAAGCAAAGACTGAATTTTCCCATCCACCTCCGCTGGCCACGGACTGTCCCATCCACCTCCRTGCTGTTGGGGCCACAGCACAGGAAGGAACATTGCACCCTCGACATCATGAGCTCCTCGGCTTCTCTGGAAACCTTGTCAACCCATGCAGACTCTCCATATACTGCTGTCCTACTATGTGGGCACTCCAAGAGCAGCACAGTCAAGTCAACTGCACAGCTGCATTCTTTTTGTCACACGGCTGGCTTAGAGCACTCACTACTAAGCGAGGCTGGTAGAGGCTGAATTCAAGTCAGAATTGTTCGCAGCACAACTCTGAAAACCCAAATGACTTGGGCTACTTTTAAGCCTATGCTTAAAACTACTTTGAGAGTCTATGAGCTTTTATGAAACCATGAAAGGGCTATTCAAGTTAAGAATTTAGGCACAGATGGGAGAAGAGATTCACCCTAGATAGCCAACAAATATGTTGTAAAGCTGGGAACACAACTCCATTCAGTTAATTCCAGACAAATGCTGAATTCAGCCCTTAAGATATAATGGCCAGATACATAAAAYAAAGAGGTAGAACCCAAAAGTTACATAGAGTTGCTCCAACTAACTTAACCTCACATGAAACTGTGTTACAAAAGAATTTTATAGCATCTTAAGAAGCTACAGAGGGCCCTGTATAACAATCTTGCTTGCTATACAACATCATRCCTTTGAATTAACAGCTTGTGCTGTACGTGACATTGGGCAACAGCTCTCACGCGAATTAAGATCTAGCAAAAAACCTTAAGACTTACGTTTTAAACTTCCCTCTGTCACTGGCTCAATACCATGACACCCTGGTCAATTAATTGACTTATATTCATACTCGTAGCTTACAAAAGGAGGCTGATAAAAGGCCAAAGGATTTTGTCTGCTCCCCCCCYTTTTTTTGTTTTTACATCTGATCGCTTTTATAGAACTCAACATACAGTTTTTATAGAACTCAACATAAATACAGTTCTCATAAGATGTCAGAGCTAGTGTCATAAATGTCCATGAACACAAATACCTAGTTGGTTTCTCACTGGGGGAAAATTATATGAAACATGTAATTGTTTGTACCTTCCTAACGTTTAATAATCTTGGTTTTTTGGTGACRGCTGCACACTCCTACCTTCTAGAATAAGTAGCCTCAGAAAGCTGTTCCATAGGCAGCCCTCCACACCACTGCGGCCTTCCTACTTCTCTCTCCTATCCTGCTAGGCAGCATGAAACAAAAACCACTTGAGCCAAATTCTGTACATAAACCAAGCCTGGTTATAGCATGCAAATTCATCTGAATTTTCTCCCATTATAAACTTAGGACAGCAGAACATTAAAGATTAATAAAGATCTCCCCCGTCAAAGAACTCAGCTGCAGTTCCAAAGCACCTAAATGGCTCTGACAATTCAGTACGACTCCAGAGAGTGAAGAGCTAATGGAATGGACAGAAGTGTTATCTCTACATTTCAACTCCACTCAAAGATGTGTTAAGGTCACAGCTCAAAGGCTGCACACAGGTGCTGGAGACCCCAAGGCCCATAAGGTGACACAGATGGAGCTGGAAGCTTCTGGTGCACCTCCCTCACCATGAGACATTGTCAGAAGAGCACGGGGTCAGTCAGCTGCACGGGCTGAGACAGCAGCGTGTTCTGCTGCAATGCTTGTTCTGTATCCATTTCTGTTGGGTAAATAAAGCTCTGGCTTTTACCGTACACKAGGACGGTGTCAGTGAAAAGATGACCTGAGATAGCAAGGAAGTGAGACGGCGCAGTGCTGCGGAAGCCTCCCCCTGCCCAAAATGTCCCATAGCAACAAAGAGACAGTTCAACCATCAACAGTTTCAGAGTGGGACCTGTGAGCAAGGGAGGAAGTTATGGCACTGTTCTTGCCTCTCCCTCTCCCCTCCACCCTGGTCCCAAAACTTAAGGGCAGCGACAACGTGCAACAGCTCTCATGCCCTGACCCCTTCTCCATGGCCGATGGTTTGCTCTGGTGTACGGTTTGATAACTGCCAGAACCATCAAAATGAAGCAGAGGAACATACCAATACTTGTAGTTATAATACCTGTCACCAGTAGCATTCTGCATAAATAAAAAGTTGTGGAAACATCATATTTTTCCAGGAGAAAAAACAAATCCTAAAAAGCCCACATACCCTACTGCTGCAAATCTGAATTAGAGACACTTATTATAGCACTATCATGACACCACCTTTTCTTTTTCCAGAAAAAATCCTATAGGTCTGATAGTAGCCATATTGTTGACGTGGGTAATTAAAGGCTGTCATTTTGTCCAAAATTTATATAATGTGCAGTACAAAGTTCTCACTCCTGCAGTGCAGCTTAATAAACCCCAGGAGTATTCATATTTATTCCCAGACACCASTGAGATATTTTGATAATACACGTGTATTCATAAAATCATCTCAGAAGGCTTCAAGAGTCATGTTATTACATGTCCAGGAATGCCAAAAATGGATTTAGGTTCCCAAATTGCTATCCCACTGGTGGTTGCCTGTGAAATCCCCAGTATGAGAGTCTGCAATAAAGGAGGGTAAAAAAGCCCCCTTTCCTTCACTTCCTCAGAGTGAAATAGGACTTTAATGAGGATAGGAAAAAATATCAAGTCTGAAAATAAGATTTGACTAAAATCTGTCACCTCATTTCTAATCTTTCATCAGCTGTTACTGATTTCACTGTATTTTTCCCCTCCCTTTTCTTGTCTGTCCATTCTTCCTCTGCATAGTAAATACACCGTACTCAGTGCTCTACTCAAAACACATTTTCCTAACTTAGAATCTTATTTATAGTTAACTACACAAAAGGATAGACTGTAGTGTCTGCATGAAAGGCAGACAGCCGACGAATTAGAGATTAATCTCCCAAAAGTCTGCAATAATCCCTATATAACTATCAGGAATACAGGAAGAGAACATAGSCAGTATTTTCTTCACTAGACGCAGTATATACTACACATCAAGACCTTACAAAAAACTTGGATCTCCTCTAAAGTCAAAGAACAGATCTGATATTAACTGAGGTATCAATAATTGAAGCAAAGTTAAAATCAGAACTTCTGAGTGCCTCTCTATTGAGATACTCCTCTTTTACCCTATCACCACATAAGAGCTAGGCCGGAATAACAGGTATTTGAAAGTACTTGGTGCAAAAAAATCAGATACGTTTCTCACTGAGGCAGAAAAAAAAAAAAAGGAGAAAAAGGAGAAAGACAACCAAAAAAGGCATTTCTGAAAAAAAAAACAAAAAAAAACCACACACTCTGGGATATGGCTCTGATAGAAGAGATAACTTCAGAAAAAGATAGCTTTAGTCATGGAAACTCAGTGGCATGCAACAGAYTGGGAAGCTTGTCTTCCCTCTTTTTAATCTCAGCTTTGATTTGGGTAATGTTTTACTCCCATTTCTTGAGCATGAACCTTAGTGTTTGGCTGCTGAGTTGCAGAAGTGCCAAAAAAAGCCAGTAAGTGCAATTCACACAGAACCTCCACAGAAAGCTGGGTCTAGAGCAGGATTTATACACAAGTATTTGAGGCTCGTTGGCTATTTGGTTGGCTTGAAGTGTAAGAAAAGCTACAAAACCCTAAGACTGAGGTAGCAACACTCTCCAGCTGATGACAGCACTTAASGTAACCATGGAGCTTTCTGTTTGTTTTTGTCTGAGGGGGAGAGGGGCAGGAGGAGGAAGGGGGATGGCTTTGAAAATATTTTCTCCTTCCTTAAAGAGATCCTCTCCCCAGCTTTTTCCTCTAACAAAAGACTGAAGCCTGCCTTAATTTCTACACCTTTTAGATGGATAACAGCCTGCAGGGAGAATGCCACGGAACCAGCAGGTGGTAAATCTATTTATTCCTTAGCTTTCTATAGCATTCCGGACTGAAAAGCTTATGTTATATTATATGTTATATTAGTGTTACATACCACTAGTTAGTTTAAATCAGACATATGTATTTATATTTTTCATTGATCCTGTCACTTCAAAGGCAACTTTCCTCCCTTTAAGAAAACAGCAGGAGAGGAAAACCCACAATCAAATGTGCCTGGGAATGTGAGTTAATGAGATCCTCCATTTAAAGATTCTTTTTGCTTCAAGTTGAGCTGAAGTCTACAGTTGTGCAGCTCTTGTTCATCTTGCCAACAGACAATGAAAACCAACTCATAAATTATTTGGAGCTGCTATTTTTGCGGCTCTGTAGCAGTGCTATGCAACACGAAAGTACTGCTGTGTTTTGATGGCAACAGGTTATGCACTGCCATGAAAATATGTATTTCATAATGGCTCTGCTTATGACCTTGTAAGCATTACTTAAATGCTACAAGCAATGCTACCTTAAAAACACTAATTTCATAGGCATCACACACCTTGGCAGAYCCAAACAGGACAAAACCTAACAGGAAAAAACTGCCTCCAACACAATTTGCTAAGAAAGCAGCTTTGATAGCCTAAACATTAAACATGGAACCTGCTAACAAAAGAGTCTTGCTACAAACCACAAGGAACATTTCCTAGGGGACTGAAAAAACACCAAGACAAAACAACCATCTCTTTCACAAGATGCCTACATCTAAAACATTAGTCAAGAACTTACCTGGTGCCTAGCCTAAAAGCTACATTATACAAAACAACCACATATTTCCCCTTTTTATATAGGGAGATTGTCTTTTACACAGGATGGGCAAGATCAGTTTGATGCTTTCAGCAACAAGTAGCTGAYACCTTATCAAGCATATAATTGTTCATAAATTGAACAGTGATAGCTGAAGTGCTCAAATTACAGCACGTATTTTCATAATGGAAACATTTACAAAAAGATAGCAATGGTACATTATAAAACTTCTGATCAAAAAAGCTCCTGGGGAGAAGAAAAATGCCATAAACTGAAGAAGTTAGATAATGCTATAACTATTTTTAATCTACAGTGTTGAAATTATATTGGTTAACTGTTAAAAAAGTCCTAATCTATATTTACCATCTGATGTCTTCTGTAGCTCTGCTTTCAAACAGTTTATTTCTTTCTTCAGTTTCTCACTGTCTGCTTCTGCTGACTCTAGCTTTTTACCGCTCCTCTTTTCATTCAAGGCCTATTACAAAACGTGCACAAAAAAACAAAGAATGTCAGCTTTCATATTGTTAAGTGACAGGTTTTATAAAATGCCTACAGAACACAGATGTACTTAGACATTCTACAAAAAYAACAAAAAATATAAAATGAAAAAATATGTTCAATGTGTTGATATGATGTGTTGTAATACTAAGTATGATCTCCTGCCTAAGTTAAACACCATACACATACACAGTATCACTAAATCARGCCTACAACTTCCACCTAAACTATAAATGTTTTTTTGAGCAGACATATATTGGGACTGCAAGTGACAGGACCCCAATCATGTCATTCTTATATAAAATGTGCAATATATCTTCAGACATCTCTCCTTGCAGGAGCTTTGAGGTTACTTTTTTAAATCTGTAGAACAGCCTGATAAATGAGAACCCCTGAAATTCAAGTAAGTAAAACCATAAGCATYCAGAAGCTGCCCTGTAAATACTAGATACAAGAGCAGCATGCCTACTGTACTCTGAAAATGTCAGTACTATTATGCTTACCAGGTGTGCTCTCATCTTTCTGGAAAATATTATTTAATGCCTAAAAAGTGTCATTTCTTAAGGATTAGACCCCAATACTTAGACTTGCTGCTCCTACAGCTTCCATAARCCAACAAAACATCATCCCTGCTATAGGGATAGCAGGGAATTAGTCAATGTGCAGGGGTAGGATGACAAGCAGAATGACCAAGACGAACATCTGTCAGGTGAGCTCATRATATCTAAGAGACTGTCAGGAAATAAAGGAGTAAAAAGTGCTGATAAAACTTGGGAAACAGATCAAAGAAAAGAACTAAACAAATTCCCAGGTGCAATTTAATCCAAGAGCAGAGATTGCAATAGACTGCTGGCAGCAAAATTTTAGCCAAATTTGTCATGAAATAAAGCTGAGTGTCTCATACAGACTCTTAGTTCCATTCTCAGTTCTTTCTACTAATAGCAATAACCATTTATGTATTAAGTCTTATGCTCCATACAGCTASTGAATAGGAACCAACACACCTCACAGTCTAGGACAAATGCAGAGTATTTATACTAACATATTATAAATGTCCTAGTATAAAGTGCCTAGAGGCAATTTCTCTTACCTTTCTCTGGTGAAAAAAATAAAATAAAAATAATAAAAAAAGCCCTTGCATTATAGATATTATCATTTAGGGTCTTGCATGGCTTAGCCCCTGCATTTCTTAAGCCATGCAAGACCCTAAATGATAATATCTCTATAATGTTAAAATAAACTCAGTCTGAACTCTTGGCATCTTGAACAGGGTAGAGATCTACCTGGCTACCATATTTTTAAGAAACCATGTAATCAAAACCAAACAGACACAAAGACAGGAAGGCTGCAGTTCTAGTTTCCGGATATCAGTTACAGGCAGCTAAGAGAATGTGTCACCAGGGAAACCACATCTAAAAAAAAAAAAAAAAAAAAAAAAAAAAAAAAAAAAAAAAAAAAAAAAAAAAAAAAGACTTCCAGATGAATCCCAGCAGGACAGAGAAAGCATGTCAGGATGCAGCAGCAACATATGATAATATAAGTATACCAAATGCTAAAACTTCAGAATCGTTGCATACATTGAGGAGTACCTAAAACACACTTGACTGGTCCTTATTTTGATGGACCCCTCTCAAATAACASATTTTTTGCCTGCCTTTAATATTTTGTGTTCAGCGTCTGTTTCTATCTGAAGATTTACTTTTTAAATAAAAAAAGCTTGTGGTGCTAGTAACCACAAACACTCCTCCAGGAGTCAGAGAAAGACTGAAATAGGCCTGACAAACAGCCAACCGCAGGGTAAACAAGATTAATCTTAAACACCTCCCTTTACTTTGCTAAAATTTATTTAAATAAATATTTAATTAGTACTTTCAGGAGACCTAAAGACACTGAGAGCACAGGAAGATAGAAGTTCATTAATTTGGAATAATTTTCCTTCTTCATAACATGCTACTCAAGTTTTTATTCAGTATTCTGAATTACAACTTGTAAGGAAATAGTTCATTCTTCCTCACTGAAAAAGAAAAAAGTCCCAAAACATTTGGTATCAAAAAGTTTCAAGTATTAAAGTCCCCCACCAGGTTATTTCATACTACCTCCTGTTTAAGAAAATAACTGAGAAAGTTAAGATACCTGCTGCAGTTTTTCATTCTCAGTTAAGTATTTTTTGGCTGCTTCAGTGGTGTTRTTCACTTGCGTTTCCAGAGCTTGTTGAGTTATCATTCCTTTTGCCAACTGAGTAAGAAGCGTAACAATACGTCTCAATACCCTAGAGAAGAAACACAGAGAGAAACACAGTAATTCACAGCACAAGGGGAGAAAAAAGAAAAAACATAACTCCCTTTTCCCTAGCTTCGTATTAGATGAGAAACAAAAACATAAAGATCTGTTTAAGTAATTAAAGAAAAATAACCAGAAACACCACTGATAAATAAAGTTGAAGAGACTTTCATCATCAAAAAGTTAGACCCCAGCTCTAATTTTTACCTCCTGAAGAAAACAAACCCAAACCACAATTGTTGTGGGGCTAGAAACTTGGTTTGCTTGAAGGCTGAAATACACTTAAACAGTTTGGTGTTTTAAGAATGATGGATCAAGAAAAGGAGGAGCCAAGCAACCATGTTAGGGTAACGAGTAAGATATAAACGTTTTATTAAAGGCCTGACTAGGATAAAAGTAACAATATGAACCTATTAATCCTTAGTACTCCACTGATACCATGTAAATCTGAACACAGATGAAAGCACCCTAGGGYACCTCAAATCCAAGCTTTGCAAATATCTTCCTTAGTCTGAACTTCCTGAGACACCTAGTGATGCCTCTTTGCATCACTTCTTTTATACATTATCTTGRAGCCTTTCACAGTGATAATGTTGCTGAATAAAGGAAAAGCCAAGACAACAGTATTAAATTAACTCCTATAGCAGACTTGCTCTTCAGAGGACACTTGAAAATCCATGCAGTTTTCCAAATTGCAAGAGCATTATCAGAGCCTGTTAACTTCCCAGGTAAGCTAAAACCCCACTTTCCCTGATTTTTATCTAGATGATCTCTAGAGGTCCCTTCCAACCTCAACCATCCCGTGATTCTGTGACACACTGCAGAGGTCTCCTAGACTGCTTGCATCCAGACCTGCTGTCCTTCCAGCRCACACTGAGGTGGCTGCAGTCTTCTCCTCCCCAAGCACTAGTGCCTGCAATCATGCAGCTGCCACCAGCTGTKTAAAGAGTGCCTGGCCAGCAAAAGCAGAGGAAACCATCTACAAAAGGCACTTTCCACAGCCCTGCCTGTGCAGACCTGTCCTCTGTGCCTTACCAATAAACTTGAGTGGCTGGTTGCCAGTCCCAAGGCAAGGCCCAAGCATTCCTGCTGCTCCTCTGCAAAATGCTATCCATCCTCCTCTTCCCTGTCTTTCCTGAAAAGCCTGTATTCATCCATTGCAGCACTCCACACATACAAGCTCTCCTGTAAGTCTCTGCAATACCAACGAGGCTGGAACTCTGCAATGGCACAGGTTTCTACCTCCTCCTGGAGGATTTCCATGCTGTATGCATTTGTATTCAAGAACTTAAGGTGAGTCACCARTCACACTGCTTTCACAGGTTCTCCACAACTTTCCTGCTTAAGTTTTCTATGAACTTCTCCGTGACATTTGCATACATGCATCCTCATGACTTCTCCTGAAGAGATCCACTAAAATGGCAACACATCAGTCCAGAGGCAGAAAGTTTGTCAGGAGATTCTGTAATTCCAGGTATTTTTTGTTGTTGTTCCCCATTGCTCCTGTRTATCAGGAGAGCATCAACCAACTCACTGGAAGAGCTACAGGCACAGGAGAACATTCTCTGCTCTGAATCACCAAAAAACATAGGACAAAATCTGACCAACACTCCTATTCCTATTTATTCACATTACTTGTCTCATTAGTTTAAGTGTTCCTTGACAAATTGAGAAGATTTGCAGGTAATCTTGACTMCTGAGAAAATGTGAACAAATCTTAGCTGCTACTGGCTGATATAAAACAGTTCCTTCTGTTATCTTGTGTTTTAGCTGCATTTAAATGTGGTATTGCTTTTGAGGATGTTTTAAGTGCTTGATTTAACAGCAGGACTGCAATCCAAGTGCTTGATCTGAAATAATATGAAGCCTTCCTGAGAAGCTGAAATATTATCCCACAGTTCGCGACCCTGAGCTTCAGATGAAATGGTTAAAGCTAGACTRCAGCATGCTTCTGAACACACTAGGAAGCAATAACACAGGTTGGAGCTACACAGTAGAATTATTTTAAACACTGTTTAAGTTTGGGGGCTCCTCTTTTTTTAAAGAAGAAAAAACAATTTTTCTTTGTTTAGAAAGAAATCAGAGAACAGATCTAAGGAAATAAGTATTCCCTGAAGAAACTTCTCCTTCAGGAGAAGTGCTTTCTCAAACACATTCAAAATGTTTCTTTCCACATGTTGTTCACATATCTTTCCAATCTTCAAACATTTGTATGGTATTACTTTCCCTGATCTCATTTGCCCGCTAGTATAGCCAGTCTGCTTAATTTTTTTTTAATCCCTTGAAATCGACCTTCTGATCTTCTAGTTGGGTTACCTGGGGCAATAGTTTGGTAAGAATTGTGCTATGCAGAAGTTAGAGATGTGTTATACTTACAGCCAAAGAAATAAGGAGAAGCCCGAGATATAAAGGTTTCTTTGTGATCGRAAGAGTTTCATCTGGATATGATCATAGGCACTGGTATTGACATTTACAACCTTTTCACTCATATGAACAGTTGAGTACTTCTTAACTTCTCTAACAGCATCTGTAAGTAAAAATTCATTGTTTGTATCCATATATGTATATTGATACACATGTATGATAAACCAGACATAATACTAGAAATACATATTTGGGCTTCCTGCGCAGCAAATAGGCCTAGCACAAGTAGTGGCATCATTTATGTTATGCATCAACTTTAATTGTAAGCCTTGATCAAGCACTGAAGCAATAAGAGTGTTACTGGAGCTCTGCCCAGTCACTGCCCCAAACCTGTTTGTTAAGCAGCTGTGTCCAAGGCAGTCAGCAGGAATGAGGCCAAAGCAACAACTTCCACGAGTGCTACCAGAGAGCCCAYGCGCTGCGTGAAGAAGGCAGCGCTGTCAAGCTGAACCTAAACCCAGACCAGCGGGCAAACAGTAAGAAGATGGAAGAAAGGGAAAAAGAGATTCCTTCTCAAGTATTTGCCTTATATGTTTTGTTTYCCCCCCCCAAGCTAAGCACATGTTTTAGTAATAAAAGAAGCAGCATCTATTTAGTGCTTGAATGGCAGAAGAAAGTCCTTACTGATTTCAATAACTTGGGAAGACTTCAGTAATGCAGCGCTGAACATGAACAGAAGCAATATGCTAAGCTACACCACAGCTACCCTTCATCCTCCCCGCTACATACTCTTAGAAGGTGTACAGAAACAACAGCCAGCCTAGTGACAGCTTCTATTAAACTACCAACTTTAGGTCACCATACAAGGCAATACAATAATAATAAATAATACTAATTAAATATTAACATTTAATTATATAAGATTTTTATATATAAATACATTACTTAATAGTACATTTAATTTTAATAATAAAAATGATTTTTTTGGGGGGGGGAGGGGCAAACTTTGAACAATATAACAAAGATTAAGATGAAACAAAATTTCCTACTTCCTTGCTATGGAAAGACTCTAGGCCTGCATTTATCTATCATCTTATGCTACAGCCACACTGCTTTACTTTATCCAAGTCTGCCTTTCCTCAAAGGCCAGTGATTCACCAACTCAGAAAGCAAGCTTTGACTGAAGCTTCTGACTGGAGTTCAAAGAGTAAATGAAATCCACCACTTCTCTATCTTAAACGTATGCTTATTTTAGATCTTTAGCAGTATAATCTTGCAATAAATGGTTTATTTCAGATAAATAGATATTAGATGTTTAGGAACATATGATAAAAATGCTTATTTCCATTTCTAKTATTTTATTTGTTATTATTTGTTATTAGGCTATAGTTATTAGATAACTATATTGTTATCTAGTATTTATTTATTATTTATTTGTTACTATATTATAGTGCAGCACTATTTGGACAGCAACTGAGAGAAAGAGTGCCATCTACTGCAGGCTGAGTGGCTTAGCCTAATSCTCCTACCAAATCTTTCAAGCTCATTTTGCTTGTGTAGGAAAGTGAAACCAAGCAACAGGCTGGATGAAGCTCCATTTCCCCCCCACTATTCACTGCTACATTATTATTGCATTTGGATTCCTAGTATTCACAAGAACATGGTATAATCCCTCTCCAATTTCTTGTAGAACTGCTAAACAAATAAATTGCCTTCCATTAGGCCTGAATCCTTCCAATCAATCAACTGCCACAAACCCCACACACTTGCTTAATTTTGTTTGTTAACAATTTAATACTTACCAAAAAACAAGACGATCAATAAAATTATTATTGTAAGGAATGCCTTGTTCCAAAAAAATGCCAATTTGCTCCACAGAGAAATCATAAAAAACTTCTGCCATCTGAAAAAAAAAAAACCCACCCCACAGTGTGATTGCAAAATAATTTAATGCTTTAAGAAGAGTAYGAACATAGCATATACACAAGAAAGCCTTGATATTGATAGAGACCTAAGAAAGCAGTTTTAATTGCAACAGAGTTTAGATTAACGTACACAATTTACCCAACAGTTCACCTCCCACACTTCTCACTCATTTTCTGTTCGTTGTGAGTAGAGGTAGACAAAACTAGTTTGACCTGAGAACATCTTGTACAACAGCAGGTATTCTCCAAATGTGATTTAGTTTAGCTTTTGGTTTAGTCAGCATGACTTTATCATCACTGTTCAGCCACTAGGACACCACAGTGAATTCAGAGAYGGGGCAAATAACATAAAACCTATGCTGCAATTGTGCTCCTTGTCGCTAAATGAATAAAAGGAAGGAAAAAGAGAGAAGGAAAAAAAAAAAAGCCCCCCTCTCCCCCCACCACACACAAAAACAAAGCTCCTCAATTTAGATAATTTCAGCTCTTCTACTTTTATATTGACGATGCGAGTCTGCTTAGTTTTAAAATAAAGGTCCACATTGTTATTGCACTGTAACTTAAAAGTGAAAACAAAAGGRGAAGCCTCAGGTTTACATTTTAATGTGAAGTGTCAAAAACCTCTTACAAAAATATAGATGCGCTGGCTAAGGATGCGGCCTCAGAGAGATAGAGAGCTGAAGAGAGAGCAGGAGAGGTGAGGAGCACTTCTCTTCAGCAGACACCTGCTACATCCGCAAGAACCCTCAAGTTGGTGGCACCAAGGACAGGCATCTGGTGTGTTTGACTGAGCTGGACCATTAGGTCCCAGCTAGTTAACAAACTAGTTTATCTGCAGGAGGCAGAGCTAGAATCAGCATTACCATGAGGTAATGGTAAAAATACCAGCTTCTGTTAGAGAATATACACTCTGCAGARACTGTTAAAATCAGTCATTCAGCAGAGCAGCTTCAAACCTAGTCAGAATCTGATTCCTGCCACCTTCYGCTTGTTCTGCACCAGAAACACAAAAATATTTTAGCATCGTATGTGCAGCAAGCTCAATCTTTCATCAAGAACCTGCGACAGTCCAAAGGAAGTCATATTGACCAACTTCTGAATGTGGGATTCTCCAAACTTCACCCTCATCTTCACTCAAGATGAAGCAATTACTTCAGGTACTACATTAGGTCAACTATATTGCCAAGTCATAACAAGGCTAAGAGTAARGCTCTCTACTACAAGATGCTGTGACCTTTATTTTTTGCTGTGACCCTTATTTTTTTCTCCAGAAGTACAGACATTCACACATACTAGTGCTGAACTTCCTTTTGGTGAGAGAAAGCATATAAATACAACCCTTCAGTACTATAACGGTGGCCCAAACTACATATACCACATGCCCTTAGCAGCACGGTTCTTTTGGAAAACTTGAATTTTTATATTGTCAAAATATTTTTGCGTGTGCAGAGAGGTTGGACTAGATGACCTCTAAGGTCCCTTCCAACCTTACACATTCTATGATTCTATGATTTTCCAAGATTTTAAAAACTTGTTAGCAAATTGAACATAACACATAAGGGATAAATGGATTTCTTTCTTTCAGAAGCCACTACTGTAAAGAATAACTGAATGCTACAAACCAGACTCACTGAGGCTGAGGCAAAAGCCTCTCCTTTGTGTATTAAGAAAAAAAAAAAAAAAAAAAGGAAACAAAACACTGAGTTTGTCATTTGAATAAATGTCTCTAGCACTAAGGTTATAARTTTGTCTTTCAGCTTCAAATACTGGATTCAAAGTCCTATTTACATCGTAAGTGAAACCAGCTTTAATACTCTCCTCATATCCGATACACATCACCAGCCTTCAGACATTCTTGTAGCTAGTTTCTTCACACATTATTAATAACCTGCTGGTTACAACTGCCATAATATTTCCCCCTTCACACACATAATTGCGTTTCTTGACTAGAAAATGGTAGAAAATACGAGAAGTCAGTAATCTATTTTGAGATGTTAAACTTCCTGGGAGCTGCCTTTTAAGAACTGAGGTTAAATTTGATTTGTAGGGGATCCAATCGCCTTTAAGAAAGCGAAAGCTGCATTCTTTATATGTATTCTAAATACAGCTAAAGTTGCAGAAAGCAGACATTTAATCCTTTCACCCAAATCTAAGGCAAGCAGCAAGTTTTAGTGTTTCATTCTACTTAGGAAAAAAAAAAAAAAGAAAAAAAATAAAGAATTTTGTTTTCTCCAGAAAAGCATTAGTCACTGTGTTTCTCCAGCCTCCAGTACAGAATTTATTTTCCCTAGCTTTCCTTACTTGTGAAAAAGAAACAGCCTTACCCAAGCCAAACATCTAATCTTAAGGCAGTAACGTAGGCCTCGTCGTTGTACACAGTGAGAGCAATTAATGCCTTTTGTTTCTGTTACCTTTGCCTTAATCAGGGGGTTTATCTGACTAGAGCGGATTCTTTCTTACATCACCACAAGATCCTCCTCCACAAGCCTCGCAGGGAAGGCCGGGGCAGAGGCCACTTGCCAGGGCAAGGGAGAACAGCTGCTGCTCACCCAATTGAGGGGTCGGAAACACATAAATACACAATTATAATTTAAAAAACTGCTTAAAGACATCTATGGGTCTGGAAACTCCYGATGCCTGGGTCCAAAAGGGCATCCACGTCGCTCCTTTTGCGAGTAGTTGGGGACACAGGGGAGATGGACACGGACACCCCGCACACATGYAACACCTATAGGTACCCAAGCCCTCGCGCGCGAGGCGGGCGGCTCCTACCTCACGGGGGAGATGAAGGGCAGGCAGAGCAGCAGCACCGCCGCGATCTCCCCGTACAGGAAGGTAGCCACCGCCGTCCACTGGAACGTCATGGCGGCCTGCGGGAACCGCGGCCGTTAGCGCCGGCCCGGGGGCCCTCCCCGCGGGGGAACCRCCTCGCAAGTGACTGAACCCCAACCAAAGGGTGGCGGGGACCCCCCCTCCTCCCCCGCCCCGGGATCCCTCCCTGCGGGCAGGACGCGCCAGGCGGGACCCCCCCCCCCCACCCGGCCGCCATGAGGCGGCGCCGCCCCCCCCCTTCCCGCGCGGCCTCCGCAACCTGCTGCCTCCGCGCGGAGCCCGATGGCGACGGGGGGACGGCCCGATGGGGGCGGGAGCGCCGCTTCCTTCCTCCCTTCCCTTCCTCCCTGCTATCGGCGCGGGGCGGAGCGGGCAGGGCCGAGGCGGAGCGGGGCCTAGGCGCCGAAACGCGGCGCTTTTATGCGCGGGGAGCGGCGGCTGGCGCGGGCTCCCCCTGTCCCGCTGCCCGCCGTGCCCGCCGCCCCTCTCGCCCCTGGCCGCCCTGCCGCCTCCATGGCGCGTTTGCCACTTGCCCCGTTCACGTGGCCCTCGCAGCCGGCCCAGCCGTGACTGTGCACGACCCTGATCTCCAAGGCCCCGAGCTGCTCCCCAGTGTCCTCAGCTGCTCCCCAAGACCCCGAGCTGCTYCCCRAGGCCCCGAGCTGCTCCCCAGTGTCCTGTTCCCCAAGGCCCCGAGCTGCTCCCCAGTTACCTCAGCTGCTCCCCGTGACACCCCATAGCACCCACAAACCCGTCCGTGCTGCCTGTCCCTGCTGCCTCCCCACTTCTCCAGGGTGTTTGCGCCCTCCATGGTTCTCAGCACCCCCCTCACAACCTGCTCCCCACTGCTGGGGAGTCCTGTACCGATTAATCCCCGATTAGTTGTTGAGCAAAACAATGCAGATCATTTAAGTGCTGTAAATAGCAGCTCTTTGTGCCCTAATCCACCRGGGCTGCAATGGGTTGGGACTTCGCTGCCAAAATGCTTGGGGCTCACGTTTCCGTTTCCCAGGGCTGGTGCTCAGCGGGTCCAGCTGACGTTTCAGCCTTTTTCCAGTTGCTGCCAGCAATGCCTGAAGGAAAGGCTGGGTCCCGAACACTGTGCAGAACTTTCCGAGAGCAAAACCACTAGTCACCACTTCAGCCCAGTCCTCACAATGGGAACAGCGTGGCTTTTAGGAAATATTTATAGTATGTTTTCATAAACACATTCAATAAGAAGCAAAAACGAAACCTAAGCACTTAAGGTCTTAGTTATTAAATTTTAGCTATTGGCCTGCAGCCATTATACTCTGCTAAAGCTATAAAAATGTTTTTAAAAGACTCTCTGCTTCAATTGCACAGCGATTTCCACTCCTGCACCGCTTACCAGCTCTTACTGGTGCGGCAGTTTGCCCACGGAGCAGCCCAGCCCTGTGCTGCTTGGCCTGTCCATGCACGTTCCCGCTGGTGTCGAGGCCCAGCCTGCTTTTCCAGTCGGGAAAGCCCAGGACGAGAGACTGCCTCTGTACGGAGCGCTGTGCATTTCCATGGCACAGACACGGCTGCGCGTTCGGCAGCGCCCGGGCGGCTGGTGAATGCAGAGCTTTGGAAAAATGAAAAATCCTCTGAAACACCCTCAGTAAGGTAGAGAAGGCAAGCTGCCGTTGAAATAGAAATGCCCGAGTGTGTCCTAACAACGGAATCCTCTAAATCCTCTACTGAAAGGGGAAGTGGAAGTTCTGCCCTGCTGCGCTCCGGGCTGCCTTGTGCAACTGCTGTGCAACCATCACACGCTGCATTTGCCTGAGCATCMACCCAAGACAGCAGAGGCCCAAAGAACTGCTCCAGAAGAGAAAATGGGATCGTACGGGGAACACGAGGGAGTGGAGGCTCCGTCAGTAGGGTGAAAGGTGCAAGGAAGCAGAAACTTTGATGAAAACACAGCATTTTTGCACAGGGTGGCTTAAAAGAAGAGCTCTATCAGCTGTGGGAGATGCCAAAGCAAAGCTTTTGCATTTTGCTAATTCGAGAAGAACTTTTAAAAAATTGGAAGTTAGATAGGAAATGGAAAGATCAAACACCTACTGATGTTACAATTAAGTTACACAAACAAGGAATATGCCCAGTGATTTTAGAGCTGGAGATCTGTATTTTCCCCTACTCAAAGGGTTTATGAGAAATACGACATTTTAAAATGACTGGAAGTTAAATAATTCTCTCAAAGATAATATCTTTAGCAATTTATAATTACTTATAAACAACATACGCTTGTCATTCAGAGCATGACATCAAGATTCCACTTTTGCCACTTCGTTTTCTGTCAACAGAGAGAAGTGCATGTTCACAAAATTGTTAAGAGCAAGAAGCCATCCACTTCACCTACAGCAGGTGATGATAAATTTCCAATGACTTYTATGGTGAAAAATTGGGCCAGATCAAGCACTCCCTAATTACCAGCAGTATCAACTGCAACCTAAGCCTTATACTTCAGGCAGAAATTGCTGTGTGATTGATATCACACAGGCACAACAACTSCTGCATTCAAAACTGTCAAGAATCTAGTTTCTAAATAGGTCAAGGTATTTCAAGTACTCTAAAGCAGTGTTTTCCCCTCTATTGAAAGGAAAGCCTTGCATTTCTCTTATTATATTGTGCTTTACTTAATGAGCAGCTTTCTCTGCTACTTTGTGCTTCATAGGGCAGTTCTATCAAATGGTACATGACTCCACTGTCATAAATATTGAATGAGACTTGATGACTCGGGTCACCCCTTTCARCCTTTTGGCTTGTATGATGTCTGATACTCCTACTAAAAATGAGCAAGAGTGTTTTATGCCACTGCAATAGAAAAATGATGACAATTTAGATACTTGAACGGTAAGAAGATTTGGGCAATGACATCAAGGGCCAAAAAAAGCTCAGACTGTATATAGAGCATTTAATAAAAATAATTACAACTATATATAAAAGCAAGCCATTTATTTAGAAAATTTAGAACTATTCATTTGTATATTCATAGCAGTATCAGAGTCAGGATTCCTAATTACAAGTAAGCAAGTTTTGGTATGAAATTCTGTGTAAACATACARAGGAAACAAATGAATTGATTACAAATAATTGCACTGCATAGAAGATGTGCAAAGTTTCCCCTGCAGAACAACTGCAGCTGGTGTGCAATTTTATTATCTTGTTCTGATTTTCACTATTCTGTCCTATACAAAGATTCAAAGCCAAGTTGTTGTCAGGCTTTCATAAGCAACATGCCCACAGGCAGAAAAGATTGCAAGAACCCCACAGAGAAAATCTGTGAGCTTTTCTTTGTCCTATAAAGCTCTGTTTTAGTAGGTGAGAGGATTTAATCTTGTATATAATTATTACACAGTAGATAAAACTGCATTTAGTCTGAACATTCAAATCTTGCACTTCAGGCCGAGCTAGTTTTCTACTTAAAACAGTGCAATTTAAAACTTATACACAACTCAAAGTTCCAGATATCAGATATGGAAATAAACCTGGGATAGAAGATGACAGAAAGGATAACCAAGTAAGATGAAGAAATGGTTTAAATTCCTACTCATAATTCATTATCCAGTGCAAGGTACCAATTTTATCAATAAGTGGTATTATAAATACTTTAGGTAATCTCAACTCAAGTATATGTCTTATGCTTATGCTTTAAACAAGATTGGAGGGACTGTATTGGAACCTCCTTTTTTAGGAAAGTTTAGTTGTATACTCTTGAGTTGTATGTAAGTTTTAAATTGCACTGTTTTCAATTAATTAAATTGCAAAAGGAACATAAATTTAAGAGAGTAATATTCTGAGCTTCAAGGTCTCACCAGCTCTGAATATATACAAAAAAATTCCTCAAATTGAAAGTTCACTTTCTCCTAGATAGAGCAAATATTTCTATGATTGGTCCCAAAATTATTCTTTTGGTCTCTAATAGCTGGTGTTATTTTTGACAAGTCCTCATTTTAGTAAGTTTTAGCAAGAAAGATCCCTAAATTTGCAAACATACTCTTATAAGCAATTGTCTTGTACAAAAAATAATTTCCTGGAGTCTTTAAACAGTCAGTCCAAGTAATGCATTATAAACAGARTCCCACATTTATGGAATGTGGACTACTGCTTGAGTAGAAAATGCTAATATAAAAATACTAAAAATATAAACTGTCAAGTTGATCACAATGTAATAATGTATTGAAAATATTTACACAGTATACCAACATGACTAATAAATAGGAGACCAAGTAAAACTACAGCAATGCATTGGCAATTCCAAAATGAAACTCTTCATACAACACATACATACAGAATCTAAGTTATCACACACCATAATGATCATTCAGATAATCTAAAACTGATGAGGTACTTGATAAAACATTGAAAACTTTTTTCTCTTGTTTCGAAGTTATTCGTTCCATCATGTACATTAAGTGATGGTGAAAACATGTAAAAGGAGTTCCGTGCTCAAGAGCAATGCTGACCCAGTCCTGGATGCACTTCAAAGGCGTCTCCTCGTATCCAGCAAACATAGCTGGGTTTGCCAAGAGTCCTCGAGCCACCATTACACCTTCAAACAAGAAATTAAAACAGAAAGTTACAATAAAGTTTACATTTAACATTAAATTTTCCTGTTGATTTGGCATAGCACCTACTATGGCAAACATATAAAGTTTGTGGACTACTACAGAACGAGTTTATAGCTACATCAGAGGAATCCACTTAACATTCCAAGCCCCAAAGCACCTATGTCATCTGTGAGAAAGTTCAACTTCATGATATATCATTCCAGAAATTCTGAAACAATACACAAGATACAGAAAAGAAGCCTTTCTCCCTTGCTTTWTAAACAGCAATTCAGTTGTATTTTGTTTTCATATGCTACACACAAAAGCACTTTTAATGCCACTCAGCTGATTAACTGAACTAGAATCATCCTTCCCACTGCACTCCATGTCTCAGTTACAGGAACTCAGGGACTCTTGATCTGCAGCACATTTTTACTTTCCAGATAAACCAGCATATTGGCAACTCAAATCCTAAACTGTAAAATAAGTCCAGCCAAGTTCAATTGTTATTCTTCTGTGCACAAATGATTCAGTTTTGCTTGCAAAATCACAAGATAAGATGACCAAGTGTGCCAAGTTTCTTCAAGTACTGTACATGTCGAAAAGAAATCCAAAGTTTTGGGATTGTACTTCCTACATTTTATATATATGTTTTTCTTAAAACACAAAAATACTTTATACTTTTGTTTTTTAAGGTCACTTGAGTTAAGAGACCATTCATTTCTATTACATATTTTCTTTTGTATTGTACTCAATATCCCACAGTATTTTAGGCAACAGCTACTTCTGCCTGCTTTGGCCTTGAGAGGGAAGCTGCTATGGCAGTTTGGTAGCATCAATTTCTGTTGTTGTCCCTAAACACTAATAATACTGGCTGTTCTCTGTCCTGTTTGTCTGTAAGATGCAAACTCTGTATTATCTAGACCACTCCTTCAAACCCTATATTGAATTTTCACACTGCCCTGAAATCCTAGACATGTACAGGAATCCACTGTGACAGGCACCAATTAACTGCATGGATTCTGTGATTTTTTTCTGCCTTTTTTTATTTTAACAGTTGTAGTGTAAGACAGATTGGACACCTACAGACAAGACTGTCATTTCTCACTGTGTCCTTGAACCTACCCATCTTAATTGTGGTTAAGCATCTAGCTTAACCTATTTCCTTTTCCTGTGCYATATTACCCCAAGAAAACTACGTCTGTATGCAGGGAATAGCGTTTTCCAAGACAAATTTTATAGCTTGACAAAAGATGAAGAGCTTTGTAAGAAGAGAGAATGGATGTTTGACGATGCTTCTGAACACTACTACTGAATGAGATGGCATAATTAAGTAAAGGGTTTTGTAATTTGCTCTTGAAATCTTTGTGAGTTTATGATTTTGTAAGGCATCCAAAATATCCCTTTTTCGCTCCTCAAAGTATGAAAAAAGTCACTCAAATCATGCCCTACTTCGAGATAAAATACTTAAAAGTTTGATTTCCAAGTTTATATAAAAAGCAGTGTTTAATCTTACCATCTGCTCCTGTCAACTGATGAACRTTTTCAGCATCTTTTAAAGTTTTAATGTCTCCATTAGCCACAACAGGAATGGATATACTTTGTTTAATATTTTTAATTGCATCATAATGTACAGGCTGATGTCTTTCTTCTACATTTCTCCCATGTACTGTAATCCACGAAACTCCACTTGCTTCAGCTTTACGACACAGATCAACTGTTCTTTTTAAATCCTCATGGATCCTAAAATGCCAAGGAAATACCACTTAGTAATTTATTGGAATTGCTTAAGAAACCATCAGGTAACAAAGATGATACAAATAACTAAAGAAATACTGTTGACAGGTAAGGAGACATTTTAATAAAAAAACATATTTTGTTATATTCAAATCAGTATTTAATTTAGTATTGTCCAACTACATAATATCTGAAATAAACATGGTGAGCTTTTGAGTAAAGCCACTCAAAAGATTCTAAAATAAATGTTGCATCAATTTGCATAGTGTTGTGAAGAAAACAAAAAAAACCAAACAAACAGAAAGCAAGCTCTAACAATTCTCCTTTTCTGAGATATCACAAACTGAGTTGAAACATAACTGAACAGCAAAGGTCTTGCAGGASTCATTCCAGGAGTTATTCCAGGTGTTATTCCAATAGTGGACAGAGTGTTGCACGACACAAAGCAGGGCTGAACAAGGCCTTCCAAAAGCTCAGGAGGTGATGAAAGGGATCAGATGCTTTCCCTCTCAGCAGCAGCTGTGGGAGGCCAGGTCTCTGTTTTACTGCCTCTCCCTTAACGGACAACAACATCGGTGGCTCTGGACTCTAGCAGCTCACAAAGTTGTCATGATCATACAGACTATGCTGCCCGTTGCTTTTCTGTTACAGAACCCTACATTTTGAACTTGTTTGAGTTGAATGAACTTAATTTCTTTTGGAGAAGTTTTTCTTAATTTCTTTCTGGCATGCTGCGTGATACCTGGGTTAGCTAAAGGCTATGCTTATTCTACTCTCTGGGATTTTTTCTTTACCATTACACTAACTTCTAAAAGAACTAAAGTTCTTTTACTTTAGAAAATATTGGGGGATTCTTACACATACTGGAAACAGCAGCAAATTAGACCTACCTTATTTTAATAGATATTGAAAACCGAGGGTTGTCAATTTGATTTCTTACATGTCTCACCATATCTTGGACTAGCTCTGGTTTGTTAATTAAGGATGCACCATAACCTTCTGCCATTGCCCATCTTTAAAGGAAAAAGAGAAATGTTTGTAATCTGCATTCAAAACAAAAGGAAAAAAAGAAACCTACTCATCATTCAGCCAAATACAACAATTTCTCTCCTTCTGCCTTGATAATATGTGGTTAAGTAAACAGAGATAGTAGTGGCTGTAGTCCGCTGATTCTGTGATGCATTTGCAGCATTATATTACCTTCAGTCTCTATTTTACAATTAGAACTTTGACTATTAATTATTAGTAATTAATCTCTTCCAGTTCAATCTTCTGTCTACAGAATGGACTCACAAGGAAATCAYGAAAATAAATTACCATTTGATTAACACTGATTTAGATCACAGATAAATAGTCTGGCTCTCCAGAAAAGTGCTTGCTCAAATACTGTAATTATAAGTCATGACAACCTAATTAGAACTGACAAATTAAGTATTTGCGCCATAATATTATCTTTTGCTTTCCTACATTTATTATTTGATCGTTTCACTTAGAAAAACACTGCTTGACAAGTATGTAATAAATGGTTCTCAACTGAGACAGTTAGAGAGAGTCTTCATTTGTGCATTAGTACTCCCTGTCTCACTGACAAGATAAAAAATCTTTATCAATTTATTAAGGGGGTAGATCACTGATTCACTGTATTTATAAACCTAGTAAAAACTGGGAGAAGTTATTTTCAGCACATCCTGAATAATATAATCTGTATAATTACATTTTAGAAACTATCTTTCACTTGCCAAAGTCTGAGACATCAGAGACTTGCCTCATCATTTGGGGAATTGCTACATCACTTCTCAACACACTCTGCAAATTCCTTGTAATGAGGCTCTTTCTGGAAAGTCAAATAGCATGACATGGCATTGGCAATGCATATTGAACAGCTGTTGAGAAGAGATGGGCACTGAATGTTGGCTCACGAATGGAGTATCTCAGAAAGGAAAAGGGGCAAGTTGACAAGTACACCTGGTTTCCTCAGTCTCACCATGATGACAGGCGTCTCAGGGCAGTGTTTTACCACAAAGACATTTCTGTCTTACACTTTAAAATGCTATTACTACCTCAAGCTTTATTTTTTAAGCCTAGACAAAAACGACCATGAAAATGAAGACCAGCATCCTTTACTTTCAAATAATTTAACTGTATTTGCACAGCTTTTTAAAAAACTTTACCTCTGAGGGCAGCCGCAGTTCAAGTCTATCCCGTCTGCAAAAGGACAGACAATTTGGGCAGCATCGCATAAAACTTGTGCTTCTTTAGCTGCAAACTGAACAATCAGTGGATGATCCCCTACTCAAATGAAAAAAACAATTGGAGATTGTAAAAAAATGTGACTGTTCCATTAAGCCTGGATAATCATCAACATTTCTTTCCTAAATTCTTTATAAAGTGTATATTTGTTTACAAAACTGTTAGCAATAGTTGTCTAAATCAGTAACTTGTTTAAAAAGAGTATTAGTTCACTCTATGCGCAAAAAAAATCCCCCCCCCAATTTATTCTTCATATACTTTTTGAATTATTCTTGGATGTTTTTAGACCCAGAAGTCCTAAACATTAAAAACAAGTAAAACCATTACTGTTGCCTCTATCTTCAACATAAATAATCCATCATTTCTCTCACTTTTCTTCATTATTCTCCTCTATTAAAGCAAAATCTCAAAGTTTAAATTAAATTGCCATATAATTTTCAATTGATTTCAAAGGTGGCTCTTCCTGAATTATGGAAGCAGAACCAGGTGTGTTCTATTACTCTCTTTTTAACAGTAGCCTTTTCACCTCTTCTTGTGGGGGTGACACCCCAGCTAAAAATGCTGCCATAATTGATGGTGATGCTGCCAAGGCCTTGCCAGGGCCCTCCTAGTGCTCTGCTGAATCTCCACACACTGAAACTCCTAGCGCTCAGCACAAACCTCCACACCATTCCCCGCTGTGCCACGTAACCTTATGAACTGCTCTCTTGGGTTTAGTGGGAATATGGGGAATCTTTCTGCGAATGACAGGATTTTTAGGGATTATTTATTATCTTATATTAATCAACTTATTTAAATTAAGCTAAACAACTCCCAGGCATTTCCCTTTCTTTGTTGCAGCCCTTTTTTTTCCCCCCCTTTTTGTGCTGTTTTTCACCTGTAATGCAATAGGCAGAGCAGCTTTAGCAGTTTTGTATCAAGCTGGAAGCAAAGTGTCACTGCTCCTCAGCTTGGGTCTGCTGAACTCCTTCTGATTTACTAAGTCCTTGCAGAGRGGCAGACACTCATATGGAAAATGGTCTCCTCTTTTACAGCTGCTGCATTACCTGAATGGTACCTAAAATATCCCGAACAGTCTTAGCACTCACTTTCCATATAAACAATTAGAAGTAGCCTATACCCTCATCTACCCAGTTAGCCCTTCCTTTGTGGAAGGCTATCAGAYTGGGTAAGCTTGATTGCTTAACTAATTGCTTGGTGAATCCATACTTAATACTCCTGGTCACCTTCTTTCCCTTCCCATGCTTAGGGATGATATCCATGATGAATTGTTCCACCACTTTGAGGGACTGAGGTGAARCCTCCTTTTCTTGCCCTTTTTGAAGGCTGGGGTGACACTGGCCTTCCTGCATGCTTCAGGCAGAGGTCCTCATATATTGTCAAGTATGATCTTAAATATTCATTGTTTACACACAAAGAATATTCATGCTTATTTGAAGTTGAATTCTTCTACTAGTAAGAGTCTACCTGTGCAACTCAATATGTCTTTTCTCTGTATTAGACTGTCCTAGTTGGGTGATGCCCCATAGCAAGTGGTCAGTGCTAAAATCATAAAGTTTACTTCCATTGCTATTGCATGAACACYAACACCAATTCAGCAGCATGAAGAGATGAAGACACCATACACAGCACATCTGACAAGGCCAATCTCCACATCAGCACAGCCTCTCTCATGCCTCTTGTTTTACTCTATACTCTGTATGCTCCATTTTACAGTTTTATTGCAGTTACCACATGCCAGCTGACCTTTATCTTTGCTGTTACTTATTTCCATCTATTTTGTACCAATTTCCCCTTACTGTTTAAAGCCGGACCTGTTCGATTCCTTGCATTCCTATTTTTGTATTTTTCCTGGTTATGTCTCTGTGGTGCACCTGAATCACTGCATCTCCCCTTCCAAGTCCACACTATGTTTCCATGGCCAGGTCTTGGCTTGTTACTTCCACCACTGTTGCTGTATCTAAAGCAGTACATTGAAAGCCCCTTCTGWTTCCATCTCCACTGCAGCTAATCTGAATCCTCGTCTTTACAAATCCTTAATTCCACTGTATCAAATGTCTAGTCCATCCATTTTCCCTCCTTTACAATATATTTATTTCTCTTAGAGAACAAGCAGTGAGTTAAGTGCTCACTGATGATACAGCCAAGAAACAGTACCTGCTAGGAGAAGAATCTTTATGTCACCTAAATCAGATTGGAGGGCCTAATTTTCAGGTGGTTTTTCAGTATTTCATWCGACACACTAATAATGATCCACCTCTACTTACTGCACCACTCTTACCTATAGCATTCTGATAGTTTTACAATTAATCAGGTGCAATATCCATAAACTGCTACAGATGTCAAGCTGCATTTACTTGGGCATAAACCACTCTGAAAATTCAATCACTTTTTACAAGAAAAAATACCGTTATTTGTTGTGAACTCGCTGTCCCTGGCCTTGGCAGACCTCACAAAATCAGCCGCCACGATCATCGGGGTGTAGCACAAGTCGCACTCGTACCTCCTCACCAAGCTTCTGAAGGCCAACCTGTGGACACATGAGCATTAAAGATTAATATTAAAGATAACCTGTGGGCACATGAGGGCTAAAGACAAATATTAAAGATAACTTGTGGGCAYATCAGGATTAAAGACTAGTATTAAAGATAACCTGTGGGCACATGAGGGTTAAAGACTAATATTAAAGATAAATTGTGGGCACATGAGAATTGAGGAAAAATATTAAAGTTAACATCCAGTCAGCTATCCCGAAATGCTGTTTTGCCATGAAATACCACAGGAATGCTTAAGTCTAAAATAAACACRTACCACATTGACCTCTCTTTTAAATAACCACAGGGTAAAAAAAAAAAGGAATTAGCTCAAGAAAAGCTCCCTCTTAGGAATGCACTGAAAACACAGGGCTGACATGAGCACGACTTACTTTGAATAACGGACCATCGGGGCGCATATTTTCACAACCTGCCCGGAGTGGAACAAATCCACGGGRTCTTTTAGCGGGCGCCGCTCCGTTTCGGCGACGTCACCGACCATGGGGAAAGAGCGACCGCTTTGGCATCTGGAGAAGGCTCAAGAAGGCGGGAAGCGGGGGTCGGAGACTGGAGCCCAACGTGCGGGGGGCCCCGCCGGCCGCTCCCCGCGTGACGGCCGCGCCCGCCGCCTTCCTCCCCGCCGCCCTTTTCCCGCCGAGCGGGGCGGCCCGGCCCGGCCCGGCTCCGTCGCCCGCCTTGAGCGTCACGTCGCGCCGGCGCCGCTCGGGCTGACGCGGCCGGCATGGAGGAGGCGGCGCGGGGCGGCGCGGCGCCGGCGGCGGCCCTGGCCGAGCTGCGCCACGACGGTGAGCGGCGGCCGCGGGAACCGGGCGGCTGCGGCCCTCGTGCCCACAGCGCGTCCCTGCCCGGGAAGGGGCTGCGGCTSCTCGCGGTGCCGCCGCTTCCCGGTGCGGCGCTCTGGAAAGCGGCGCGGGGCTGAAATGCGGCCGCGGGGCTGCGTGGGGAGCCTCTTCTCCGCCCGAAACGGGTCGCGCGCCACGTTCGCGCCGCCTCGTCCTAGGTCATGGAGTCTGGGGAGGAAGGTGACAGCACCGTTAGTWTGTCCTGCTCGAGGGAAACTTGTGGGGAATAAAGGAAAACACGTGTCCCTTTTTTCTTTTTATTGTTTTTTTCCTATTAAAAAGGAAGTCTAATTTCAAGCCTATTTCTCTTGATTGTGTCCTTAATCACTGTTTTACTTATACCGTGCAACGCAGAGAACGTGTGCTGAAACACGTGGAGAGCTCGATGGTCTGCAGAGCAGATGCTTTATGACCACAAATATTATTTACCTGTGTAGAAACACAAAAATAAAACATATTTATTTTCTTCCAGAATGTTATGCTGACTTCTTCAGGGAAGATTTTGATGTCAAAACTTACACTTCCCAGTCCATCCATCAGGCTGTGATAGCTGAACAGTTAGCAAAGCTCGCACAAGGTATCAGTCAGCTGGATAAAGAGCTTCATTTACAAGTAAGTTTAAAACATCCCTGTTGTCCTGGGGAGGTTGATACAAACTGCTGAAGAGTTGGGTGGTCTCCTGATGCTGCTGCTTCTGAATTATCCAGCGTGCTCACCGTGTGGTCACTAATGGTAGAACTTGCTGCAGAAGAAGCAGTGAATCTCAGTGCTGTTTAGCGTTTAATTTCTGCACTTTATGTCTGTGCTTGGAGTTTCCACTCTTCTTTCTGAGAAGCTCATTAACTCTTTCCAAATGATCCTATTAACAATGAAAAAAAGTGTCTTTTTGGGGAAGATGATTGTGAAGAGATGTTCAATAACTCTGAGGATAACTGAATTTTGCACACTCTTAACGCGTGCTGGAGCCTGGGCTGTGGCTCTGCCTTTAGCTTGGCAAACATAACGTGTATTAACACACTTCCAAGCCTTCCAAAAGGGATTTGAGCTTGCATAGGGCATAGTTTGTCCACACACATAGTTCGTGTGTGGAATCCAGACAGACACTTAAGTGAATTTTGCCATGTGAACACTTGCAAGTTTGTGTTTAGCTGCAGACACATGCCCTGCTGCATCATTAAATTCTTAGAGAATCAGTTTTTAACAATTTACCTCTAGTAAATAGAAATTAAAATACCAAAAATGTGAATATACTTTCTTATTTGGCAGYAAACAAGCTTGCATTTACAGTGATTGTTATATATGAGAGTGTTTTGAAATGTGACTGTACTCTGCTGGCTTTGTTTAATATCTCTTGACTGAGCTGCAATAACTGACCATGTTGTAATTCTGAGTTTACTCTTTTTGTGAGTTATAATACATTTCTGAAAACCTTTTCATTTTTGAAGTGCAGCCACTATTTTCCATGCCTATATAATATAGGAAGATGATGATGCTTTGCTGTTCTTTTCATGATCAAATCTCCATTCTTCTGTGATGATTTCTCATCTCTCTTTTTTCTTCTTTTTTTTTTTTTTTAAGGTTGTTGCAAGACATGAAGAYCTGTTGGCCCAAGCAACGGGGATTGAATCCCTGGAAGGTAAATTTATATTATGCTGGTGCTTCTTTTAACTGAGAAATTACTGTTGATGTTTGCTTGGGCAATGCCATTCACTTTGGCCTATAAAGTTCCCTGTTATAGATGTTACTTTTGAAAAGTAATATTTGGCTGTTCTTGTTGTTATCAGCAGAGGGAGCTCTGGGAAGAAGAGTTGACAGATACTTTCTGGAATACTTACTTTTTGAGTTGTTTTTCTAAATAAGTCAAAGTTTAGTGGAACACTAGCTAAAATCTGTTACTGTTAGTATGAAGTTCGTAAATATGGAATGTGTCACAAAGTCTGCAAATCTTAAGTGAAGAGACTTTTAGCACATAATCTTATCTGCATTTTTTCCACCCTCTGGAAATAAGCTACCGAGTTTAAAATAGGAAGTAATTTTATTCCACGGTTTAAGATCTGGATTTTAATAGACATTGTTGATTTTTAAAAGGCATAGCCTAGGAGAGCTTGACTCTATATGGAAAAAAAAAAAAAAAAAAGGTTGCTTATACAGTACTTGTGTCAGGAGCAATCTAGACCTCTCATTTTGCTCCCTCTTACTTGCCAGGGATTTCATATATTCTTTTTGTGCAGAAAGATACTGACTGCTATAACATGTGCTCCTTTGCATATATTCTTTGCATAACATAATGTTATGGTCTCTGTAAAACACGAAATCAAGATATACTTGTCTTCCTTACCGTGGCTATTTTATGACTTGATACGCATTTTTGTCCCTTTTTACAGTTTTAGGTTTTGACATAAGTAGCCAGTTTCTGCTCACTGACAGAGTGTCTCCTGAATCTTTGCAATTTGTTAAACATAGTATTCAACTGTTAGCATCTCCACACAGATAGAAAAATGCAGAAATAACTGTTTAATCTAGCAACACTAACTCCTAAATTGCTTTGTAAACAGTGCAGAAAATTAAGGCATAGGAAGACCTGAATCCACGCTCCAGATAATAGGTAGGCAGGAATCTATATTCTGCCTCAGTCTAATGATTGGTAATTGTCTCCCARTCACAGTCTCCAGCAATCCGTGCTCAGTGAATTGTGTTCTGCACAATTCTGCACTCCTGCTTGTTCCTGAAGACATTCCTTCCTAGAATAGCTGCTTGCACACTCCATTCTGATGGAGTGATGAATATTCAGTTTTGAAAGATTTCTATAAGGCAAATGCAGTAAATTATGTATGCTATATAGCTAATACTGCAAAGTAAAACTAAAATCTAATCTGCCTAAAATGTGTGGACATTTCATCATTGGTAGACGGTTATGCATTTTAGGAAGTCTCCTTTGGGGGTGAGAGGAGTAGAAACTTGGGATGGTTCTAACCCTGAAACGCATTTGACACTTGACATATCAGCTGGATCTTCAGTTCTGTAGATAACAGGGCAGGCAGGCAGGCAGGAAAATCAAAATTACCTAAAAAAAGTGATTTAAGTTTTGCATAACTTCTCTTACCTCTGCTTGGCTTGTGCTGCACATTTTATGTTGTGGTTGCTGTAAGAAACACTTAGACAAGATTCATAAGAAAAAGAAAAAGATGAATGTCAGTAGAAATATTAACTATGAAGGCAAAAACATACAACTTGGGGCATCATTGTATGCTTATCGTGAAGGTATCAAGTGAAGTTTATGGAACCAATTTATAGCATGTACAGTCATTTGAATGTGCAAAGTGGATCTCAGCAAACATTTATGTTAAATCTTCCTCAACTGGTACAATAAATTGCTGGAGACTTGCTTTCTTTTGCAGGTCTGTGCACTTTAACAGTGCATTAATCTGCCGTACCCGCTCTTTTCTGTTTCATTAGCTCAGGATAGACTAAATAGCATCATCCCACGTCTTATTCAGCAGACACAGGGTAGATCCTCCTGACTCTGCCCTCTGGCAAGAGGACTTCTGTGCTACTAGAGTAATGTGACAATAAAAGTGGTACCAAAGTCGTGGTCATGGCTACCCACCATTGTTGCAGTATAGAGCAGAAAATTCAGCCTGTTCAGGCTACTTTACTGCATCTACTGTCTCTGATGTGTGAGAACTGCACCTTTGCCATTGCATGTATGCATGTCAGAGGGATCTTCCTTCATAAAACTTCCTAGGAAATGTATTTTTGTTTCAATTATTGAGAGCATTCTCAAACCTACTAATTTTGTAGGTCTGGATTTGCGTAAATTAAATTCTCAACAGACTGATTCTATATTGTAAAAAAAAAAAATGGCTGCTGCCCTTGGCTGCTTTGTTTGCAGTTTAACAGGAAAAGAGCGAGGATATTTATGGGCTTTCTTTGTGCTGCTTTGCTGAACTAATCTGGAACAAATGTAATTAGGATAGTTGGCTCTGTTTGTAATCTAAATTAGATAATCTCACAGTGACATTGATACTTTAGTTTCAGCTAAGGCAGTAAAGGAAGAAAATTCTGAAATAGAACTGGTTACTCCTTCAGTCTTCTTTGTGTGTTGCTTTCTCTGAATTAAAAAGACTTTCTGTTGAAAATGCAATGCCATTTTTGTATATTAGGTACAGGTGTGTATGTTGAATGATACGTTTTTGAACAGCAGTCCCCATCCTCATGCTCTTTAGATTTGAAATTTAACTTGTAATGAATTTCAGAGTTTGTTACKTATGTTTGTGTTCTCTACCAATAAATTTTTCTAATGTTGAGTAATTGACTTATCTGCACAGCCTATTCCGGAATAGGCAACGTCTCATTCMTTTAGCTGTCCTCATAGTCCCTTGTTCTGTTGGTCAGTGTTACATGTAACACAAATGCTTTATTTGACAGGTGTCCTCCAGATGATGCAGACAAGAATTGGTGCCCTACAAAGTACAGTTGATAGGTATGCCATTCATTAGAATTAAAAAGTATAAATTCTTAATTGTTCTACCATATGATTTATAATTATTCCCATAAATAAATGTCTATTCTTTTTTTTTCTTTTTTAGAATTAAGGTCAAAATTGTTGACCCCTACAACAAAATAGTATCCCGCACAGCTCAGCT